TTGACTAGTTTCCTAGACACGCAGTCTGTAAATAGAAAAAATTAAATTGGATCTAGTTTGCAGTGTTTTCTCGTCAAAGCGAGGGGGTGGGGTGGGGTGGGGGAGAGAGGTGAGCTTTTTCTCATGGTCAGTCTTTCAATTATTTAATTACTTGCTGAAAGTCCTATTAACTCTGCACACTTAATTTGCCAGCACTGTTGTCTAGAGACAGCGGAAGAAATCTAGTTCTAGGAACAGCAAAAGAATGTTGCCATTGGCATTGAATTGGAGTGCATGTACTCCCTAGGAAGGTCAGCTTAAGAATAAACTTGTGTGCGTGTGATTGAAAATATGTGAAAATTTTGAAAGTCACGAGTTAAATGACGACATTAGGCACTTAGTCTATGCAAGGCCCAGTCACAATCTAATGATATTTCGTCCAAAATAATGAACTGAATCAACAATAGGTTCAGATTAAAAAGTAGTGCTAATTACAGTTTGGAATGTCCCAGAATCATTCCAGTGCCGTTTAAAAACCCAAAGACAACGAATCGATGTAAGTCCAGGGATGCAAGTGACCAACCGCCTGACTAATTCAGGTTAAAAGAAGAACGGTAGAGTAAAAATATCTCGTAGGAGCATCTCCAATATACCTTAACATTATCTAAGACTAGCACTGTCATCAGTCAGCTCCAAGAGTTAGGAGAGCATTTTGTGCATTCTAGGACATTTGTAAGGCGGCTCAATTTTCATGCCTCATCTCAGAGGGAACGATCACTTTCAACAACCACTTTATTGGTCACCATTTTGCCAAATAATAACTGCCTTTGTACCAAAGAACATCGAATTCAAGACCTTTAACTTGGTGGAAGTGTTTATTTTCTTCTGTCTCCAGCCCACAAACATCAGGCTAAACTCATTCTTTTAATCTTCATCGCCTAAACTTTCACCTAAAGAATTGCTACCAATTTCGCTAATTACGAATGACACAATATATTTTACTGACTATTTATAAGTAGCCATTGATCATTTCGAGACTAACCTACCCAAAAATTTGTACAATTAATCGATGCATTTAAACCTCAAGTTATTTCTTTTGGTGAGTCGGTTTTAGCATGCTTTGCAACACTTTAGCGGGCTTATTCAAACGACAAAAATGGAATGGTGCTATGGGTCGTCAAACAATTAGAATTTCAGCCGCCGGGGCAGAGGTGACGGATGCTGTAAGTATCTTTGATGTATTTTATGAAATTTCAGGAGTTATAATATCTGTTAATTAGTCTAATTTTATTTAAATCTAATTTATCTGATTTTTATCAAGATAAACTAGAATACTGTAAAGTGGTGGTCCTAGGTAGTTGGTGATTAAAATCTACATTAGTTTAGTTGAACAAATTTGTTTTTAGTAGTTTATTTGTTTACAAATAAAATGCCATAACTAAAGTGTAAGTTTAATTTGAATTGTGGATTTGATTTGAAGCTTTCAGCAATTTGTCAAACAAACAATGACCAGAATGGGGTAAGTTGGGTCTGGTGCTTCAAACCCACACACATTCATCTAGTTCGTCGTTGACCTTTAACCTATTGACATCCACCCATAGCACCCATATTAATGTGTCTCATGTTTATCCTTGTTTTATTGCGTTGTTTTAATTGTCTAAAAATGGTTGTCTAGTTGCCACTGCTTTTTAAACAAAAAGTGTCTCGGCTTTTAGCTTAACCATGACCAAGCACTTGTACTACGCCGACTTGCAGAAACCGTCGAAGATTTCATTGGAATAGCAGACGAGGAACTTGGTTTGTTTGCTTTTTCAGCTATTTTTTGTTTATGATCTAGGATACTTTAAACGTTTGCATTCCTCTATACAGCTCAATCGATATTTGACCTTGAATGCCGATCAACCACGAAAGAGGACTTTTATGAACTTCTTAAGAAGCAGCACTCAGAGTTCAACTTTCCTCCGCGGATTGCTGAAAAGTTTTGGATGGCCTATGACTTCTACCTGGACGGATTGAGTGATCTCAGACGTTGATTATGATCTCTACTTCTTACCACTGTCATTAAATTAACCCGATTTCTGTTTGTATGCTGACCCTCACTGAAACTATGCCTGTGTTGTAAATTAAAATTGCTAATACATCTCTTCTGACGTAATGTACGTTACATATTAGCTTACCTAAAAAAGTTACTTTTCACATTTATTCCGTTTAAATTACTTTGCACATTTTAACAATCACATATATATGTATTGAATAATCTCCATTCTTTCACCGACTTTTTGGATTTTTAATTATAGTTCTTAAAAAGACAGAGTTTTGGTTACATTGACGAAAATGGGGGTAGACCCACAGATCCAAGAACCAATAAACTGCGATTCGCTATGTTTTTGCTGCCTTTTAGACAAACTGTCAAGTTCTCCTAGTGATTCGGTTTCCCTTTGATAGCAATTTGGGGATGATGCGGCATTTCGCGATTTTTCAAATTCAATCTAAGGGTATCAATGAGGCCCTCTTCTACTCGATATCATAATATCTGCGTAATCACACCCCTAAAGGAGGAGGATCAAGTTGTACAAGACATTATTGATGGTCTGAGCTCATTTTCGACTCAAATGTGGCTCACACGCGTAATAGTCCATTTTGATGAGATCTTAATTTAATAAAACCGATTAATCTAAGATAATGAGATTTATTTATATCAAATGGCAGGCGTTTTGATGGCTATCATTAGCCCTTTAGTTGATTTCAGGCTTCACAATGGGAAAGGAACATCAAAGTGAAAAAAGTCGAGAGGGGGGGGGGAGGAACAGAAGTTTCAAAGACGAAGTTAGAAAAGGTAAGAAAAAGGTTAGGTGAGTACTGTGAAAGATGTCGAATATGACATACAGTAGGGTGATGGTAGTTTGAAGTCGGAAGCCAACTGTCGGTTTAAAGACTTTTTTGCCGTATGAGTATATGTTGCCCAGGGTGCACCACGTGGAGGTAAGTCTATCGCACACCCCATGTTAATTATCATAAAGCCTGCCATTTGATATAAATTCATATATGTACCTAAACGGTCAATGAATTTCAACCACTTTGTGTTACAAAATTTTGTACGCACATAATGACTCATTAGTCTACTCATCTAAATTTTCACACAGGAAACTCTCATCACGCCAGTCTGGTACAATGCGCTCTCCATTCACTCCTTGCTACTGTTTTTAATACCGACTCCAGTTTATAAAAAAAATATTGTTTTGAATTCCGTTTCCTCTTCAATGCAATTCACCTTTTTTGATCATGTTGATATTCTGTTTCAATTTCATCGTGTTAGTTATTTATATAAATGTAACCGACTATTTCCATCACATTAAATGGTAAAAACCCCTTTTGACAATATGAATGGAAATAGTTTCCTATCCTTTGTTTCTTTTCACCTTGTTACACTGGATTAAATGTATGTTTTCTTATAATGTTACCTATTGTATTTCTTTCCAGGTGCCATCAAATTCCCGATTAAATGGACAGCCCCAGAGGCCGGCTCATCGAGTAGTCTATTTAGTACTAAGTCTGACGTCTGGTCATTCGGTGTTCTTATGTATGAAATCGTCACTTATGGCGGTACCCCATATCCCCGTAAGTTTCTCAAAGGCCCCTCTTTACTTAAGTAGTATATCCGGTTCTAAGCCTGTTTTTTTTCATCTATTTTTTCTAGGATTCAACAACCGCGAGACACTTACGCAGGTTGAACGCGGTTACCGAATGCCTAATCCTGACTCTCCGAAAACGCCATGTCCAAATGATCTCTACCAAATCATGTTACAGTGCTGGTCTCACCATCCCGAGGACCGGCCCACCTTCCACAATCTCTTTGATATATTTGAAAATTGGACTGTCCAAACGGAAGGTCAGTACATTGCTGACGGTCCCCAGGCCATTCAGACTAATGCATAAAATGGAATTCGCTATAGTGAATGTGTGATTGTGTAATTGTACTTCCTCTCTCCCTTATCTTGATTCATTTGCCTCGATCCCCCCTCCCTCCCTCCCCAACTCCGAATCCCCATATCCCCCCCCCTCCATCTATTCACCTTTTTCGACGCTGCATTTGACTGATATGTTGGATTTTCTCTTCCATTCCTATTACTCGATTTTAATCCCTGGCTTCTAGCCTTCTCTACTCTATCTTTCGTGTTCTTTTGCTAAGATTAACTTAAGGCTGTATTATCAATTTATCTGATTGTGTTCCCTCCGTCTTGTTAACAACTGTGACCGTTTGTGCCATCAAGCTGTGGCAAACTGACATCGGTAATGGGGAGCTAATTGGTTATACTTCATGCGTATACATTTGCATCATTGATTATTTAAGCGATCTGTCATTTAATAAGTGAGCATATTAAGTAAAAAACGTATTAATTGCGTGGCAGTACCTCATTCTAGTTTTGTTAGGTAAAGGCCCTTTTTTCAGTTGAATTTGCGTTGAATGAAAGCCTTGAAACCGTATCTCTGCTACAATAGAACTTTATTGAATTTTCGCAAGATTTCATTATAAAAACGTTTTACTTCTTAGCCTGAGAATTCTTTCCATCACAGTTGTACTTTCAAGATCCGGAAATGAAAATTGAGAAAATTTTCACCACTTGGTTCTCATAATTCTCCTTTCACATTCCTTCAACTTGTGCGAAAACACGCCATCAGCCTAAGTCTAGATTTTACAGTTTGGAATTCAAAATTGTCCCGCGTCTCTTTACAAAGTTAACTAATAAGAGCATTTAGCTGTTCACTTCCCAAAATTAAAATCTGATGGTTGATCGATGAGCGCAATTTTATTCACTTTATCTAGCACTTGTTGGCCCACTAGTTGATTTGGATGTTTGGCATTATATTACTTTAAGGGCTGTGCAAACGAGTCATAGTAATTGGCCAGGATGGAGCCAATGAATGATCTATACTTTAAACAAGGATTGAGATGAAGAGACCATTAGGAGCCAAGCGGACGCTATTGACCACAATTTTATATATGTAGGAAATAACCACCGAATTCTTTAGCTAATCTAATCACAGCAGCAGGCTGGGGGGGGGGTGGAGGTGGGGACTATAATTTCCAAATCGAGCCATCTATCCCCCCCCCGCTTCGTGAAGTTGGGTTTTAATTATTACCTATCACCGGGGCTTATGTATTTGCTTGGAAATAGAAGGCTGGAAAACAAATTAGAAATCTACTAAGTTCACTAGCTCTAAGATTACCCATCCTGCCATTTCTAACGTATTTGTCATCTTGTGCAAATGCCTTTCCCTTACATACAAAATGATAACCCTGGCTATTTTGGCATGCATAATACCAGCATCACAGCAGTTGTAAACCCCAAAACCCTACTATTCTTCGCACAGGTCGTTAAATCCAGAAACGCTTTGGTTTGCGCTGAAATAGAGATAAGATCATCCGAGGCCTGAAATAAATCACCTAGGGGGGGGGGGATACTTTTCATTTCAAGAGCTATGGGACTTTACGCATTCCTTTAACCTGAACGTCTGAACTTAAAGTTCGTATAGATATGTTTCTTCATAAATTTGATCTACGTACACGAGCCAAAGCAGTCAACTTAGAATTAGTACTCTACTACCTCTCACATTTTCATTTTTGATTGTAATCGTATATTGGTAAGATTGAAAAATTTCTTTACCATTCATTTTAAAAAGCTTCGGCTACTCAGCTCCTGGTAAGAATTACCCAAGGCTCAAATGGCAGACGTGCTTTCGTGTAATGTGAAGCGTGATGAATTTTTGGCCGCCAAGTTAACCAACATTCGCATCAATGCTTACATCTCAGTGTGCGAGTGTAGAAATTCAATAATCGATACTTTAGTGCATGTGTAATTAAAGCTTTTGCGCTTTGACTGAGTGCACCGAAAACATTCGATTCGATGTCCTGACAGTCATGTCACATTGACGCAGAGAACTTCTCTTTAGAAATTCAAACTAAATGTCATGCTTAGTCAATTCATTTTGAAGAAATAATCTGTGTTAGCTGTTGTGGTTATTATTTCGATTTGGAAATGCTCGCAAATCTCTTACATATCGCATCTTACACTTCACTGACGCCCGTTCTATACAAAGCAAATGTGATCTAAAAATTTTAAAACGACTAGCATTTTACGTTGCGTTCATTCTGCGTACTTTGTTATGTCTTACTTCTAAACTATGTGCTTTGGACATTAATTAGACATGTTTATTGAACGCAAGCTCAATGTCTGCAAAATTCCGGTGCAGTGATTTAAAAAGATAGATACTCCGTGCGATAATTTCATTTCTCCAGTGCAAGTCGGAAGAATTTTGCAATTTTTCTACTCTGGAGGACGGCAAAAAAGTCCAAATGAGGAGTGGAAGAAATAAGGAAGTGTGGAAAATAAAACCAAAGGGTCACAATAATTTCGTGCTATTTTATTTCTTTTTGAGTACTTTTGCTAACCACTTTAGACACTATGTCTTAATCCTCATATCCTATTATGTCAAAGTTCAAACTTTAGAGTGCGAGGTTGGTAGCGTTACCTCTCCTCTTTTAATAACTAAGTGACCAGATAAGAGGAGGATATCAAATCTTTAAAATATTTGCTTTTTTCTTGCTTCCACTCCCTAAATTTCAAGAAAAAGCTAAAACAGTGTCTCGAAGTGCTTAATCATTGTACAAGCACAATTGTTGTTTGGGAGAGATGTTTCTGCGCGTTCTGTCTCAAACACTTTCCAGAATGTGAGTACTGCCTTCAGAGTAAGTGCTTTCTGGATAGGCCTAGAGACACCTCCAGTAAACATTTTTACCACGCCAGACGTTTACAGAGGAAGGATTGAATGGCTGGAGGTGTAGAGCTGGATAAATTATCACCACTGTGTGAGAGATATTTATTTATATAAAATGGCAGGCGTTTTGATAGTTATCATTAGCCCTTTAGTTGACTTCAGATTTCACAGAGGGGAAGAAACAACAAAGTGAAAAAAAGTCGAGGGGAGGAGAACTGAAGAGTATTTCAAAGACGAAGGTTGAAAATTTAGAAAAAATCCGATGTAGTACTGTGGCAGTGGTTGAATATGACATACAGTGGGGTCATGGTAGTTAGAAGTGAGAAGTCAACTGCCGGTTTATGGACTTTTTTGCCGTATGAGTATACGTTGCCCAGGGTGCACCACGTGGAGGTAGGTCTATCGCACACCCCCAGATAATGAGATAATTTCGCATCAAAGACTTTAGTTGAATCGGGTGAATGGAAGTAATGAATCCTGTAAAAAATACGCCAGTTTGAGGTAGTTTAGAGTAGTACTTAGCGGAGTGCACAAAGCTGCCATGGATGAGTTAGGAAATCTCATAGGCACTCAGAGCAGGTTTCCTTAGTGTGGCCGTGCTACTTCTATTTTAGCGACTAATCTCTGCGTCAATGACACAGTACGCTTTGTTACCTCAAAACTATTTATTAGGTCATTTCTTTGGTAATTACATTAGCCAATTGAAATGATTTTTTCCCGTTTTGTGACTGTTCACTAAGCGGGGCTATTGATAAATATCATTAAGCCTGACATTGAGATAATAGTAATAATAATAATAACTTTTCACTAAGCCAAATGTTTAGACGGTTATGCGCATACACACAACCACACTTCGCATGTAGGTTTACGAAATTATTCTTAAGCCATTGATAGGAAAAGTACCATCGTACTTATGGAAGTAATGAAGCAGAAAAAGTCTATTCTAGGTTTACTCTACTTAATTTTTAACGTTTTCTTTTTATTTGGGAATTTAAATATGAAATCCTTGAATCAATTTGCTTGTCCCGCAAAAATTATATTCAACATGTCCGCAGACACAATTTGCTGATTATCAGTTGCCTACAATTTCCTGAATATATATATATTCGGAGGGCACCTCTGTGTATTTAGGAAGGTGATTTTACGTCTATCTTCCATATTTAGACGATTTTATCGAATGCCACCCCACTGTAAGCGTCCATTTCATTTAGAAGTGTACACGCATATATACCCCACACTCATCCTTTCTACACCCCCCCCCCACTCTCACTGTCCAGATTCCGTTTTTTAAAATTCCAAACAAGTCAACCGACACAGTTCTCTGCTATTTACAACTGTTAACCTTAGCTCCTTTGATCTGGCTTCGCTTCATTAGTTCCTCTCAATTTTCCGACTCTACACGTGAATATGAAACGAAGACTGCTTAACTCGGCAAATCCTTTGCCATAGCTGTTGTAAAACAAAATATATATCTACGCCAACACAAGCGTGCCAAAAGTAGCTATCTTTTAGTGAGTATTATTTATTACCATTACCTCGACAACAGTATTCAGGCACAAGAGCGTGTTGCATAATGAGTTAAGAATAGGAACAGGCAAGTAAAGAGACTAATATTACCATATGAAAACTATAGAAAAGGCAACATAAGGGAGGTCGAAGGGTCACTTCCACTTTTAATCATAATAGATGCATTCAAGGGAGGGAGGGGTTGTTACTAAAATTCTACGAAAACGAGGAAATTATGCATTCCCCTGAGTAACAGACGGCATCGAATAGAGACATCAAAGGCCATGTCTTTAAATATCCTTTGGCACGGGACGATTCTTGTACATTACTTTGCGAGTCTTGATATTGGCCCACTTCTTGCGTTTATAGACACCAGCGAGCACAGCAGCCATGCCCACCACTATGATAACTTTGAAAAGTACGCGTTTTCGTTGATCATGATTGCGGTCGGAGGACCAGGTGAGAAACTCTGTGACATCCTTGGCCATCTGAGACACGGTGGCTGGAGTACCGTCGGCATATTCAACCTGCTCATCGAAGAGGGGTGGAGCCATGGATAAAGCACCTCCTGGGAAATATGGGTTATAGTGCTGATTAGGCTCCAACTCGCGACCCGGTGGTGGGTCAGCATAACCTAAAAGGAAGAAAAAATGGATTTCATGGAAATGGCATAGGTCCATAAAGACATACTAGAAACTCGTATCAACTCAGGAATATTTGGCCTTGCATTAAAATATAGATATCTAATCGACCTAATCTACCAATTTTTTTTTTTAAATTTGTGAACATAACGAATAAAGCTACGGCCACAAGTAAATTACTTTCTACTCTAGTCTGAATAAAAGCTATTTAAAGCTTACCAATACTACACTAATTAGTAATATCTAAAATAGAACATTTATTTTGAGAGGAAAATTAGCCTGTTGGTTAAGGATGTCTACCGTAGCGTAATTATGAAACGCACCTTTTCAGATTGTCAATAAAAACAGGGGAACTAATCTCATAACCAAATTTGTATTAAGAACCGAAATATTGAGTAAATGAATAGAAACGTGGTGAAATAATTGGTGTTTTTTCTTGAATAAACCTCAAATTTTGACCGCCTGAGAGCAAATAAAATGCATTTCGTAGAAAATTGAGTGAATAATTAGCTCATCTTAGAATAATACTAAGTCATCGATTCGGAACGAACCAGTTAATTGACTTAGACTAAAAACACTCATTCGATAAACGATGGTCGAATAAATGAAAACCTTCTCTTATATCCAGTGAACCACTGCTCCTGAATCCCTGAGAACTAATTTGTAGTTGTTGACATTCAACCGAATAAGAAACCTGCTCTCCATGAAGTGATCCATCGTTCAAGTTCATTTAAAATGAAAAATCAATTAACGAACGAAAGATGATCAGTAAATTAGTGAGACATGAAAGAGATTGGAGATTCTTATATCGAAGAATCAACCTGCAAATAAAAAGATCATAATTAAACTAATTAAATTGTTACAAAAAAACTCCCGGATAAGAAAAAATGAAAAAACAAGGCAATTCGGAGGGGAGGGGAGGGGGAATCCGACTCACCCATGAGGAGATGGAATATATAGTCCTCCAGGCCATGGCGAGCCTTTGCAATGAAGGTCA